AGTTTTGTGAGTTTCTTGGTGACAATGGTTAGTTGGATCTTGTTTATCAATTCGGTCAGCTACCCTGTGTCTTCAGTTGGTGAGTTAAGGCCATTTATGTGTAAGGTTATGATTGGTGAGGCTTTACTCTTTCTGGTGCTGTTGTTGGTCATTTCTCTGGTCCTTTTGTTTACTGGTAGATCCTTTCTCCCTCTCCTGCTGGTAAAGGATTTTTGCAGATGTGTGGCATTGAACATGACCGATTCTTTCTTAGCTCTCTCTTGATCTCTTCACTTCAAGAAATGCATTCTTTCCTGATGTGCTGGCTAGTTTTATGTTAACTTGGTACAAGCTAGAGTCATCTGAAAGGAGGGACCCTCAATTGAAAAGATACCTCCATAAGATCAGGCTGTAGGCAAGCCTGTAGAGCACTTTCTTAATTGATGGGGGAGGGTCAGCCCATTGTGGGTGGTGTCATCCTTAGGCTGGTGGTCCTGGGTTCTATAAGAAAGCAGGCTAAGCAAGTCATGATGAGCAAGCCAGTAAACAGCACCCCTCCATGGCCTCTGCATCAGCTCCTGCCTCCAGGTTCCTGCCCTGCTTGAGTTCCTGTCCTGACTTCCGTCTGTGGTGGAATAAGATATGAACATGTAATCCAAATAAACCCTTTCCTCCCCAGCTTGCTTTTTTTGATCATGATGTGTCACCACAGCCTTAGTAACCCCAATTACGACACCTGTGTTCTTATGGATGAAACTTTCTTTTTCTTCTGTGTGTGGTGTTCCTTTAAGAATTTTCTGAACTAAGCTATTACTGCATTAACTTATGTTTGTCTTCAAATACTCTTATTTACCCAAATTTTTCTCCATTAAAATAACTTTGCTAAGTATCTTGGTTGACAGTTATTAACTTTCAGGACTTGAAATATAGCATTTTCACTTGAAGTCTATGTTATCAGATATTAGAACAGTGACGCTTGTTTCCTCATTCCATTTGCTTGAAACACATGTCCCATCGTTTGACCTAAGACTGCATCTGCCTTTGGTGGTGAGCTACATTTCCTGGAGGCAAAAATAGGTGGATCCTCTCTTTTAAACTAATCACTACCCTGTGTCTTTTGAATGGAGAACTGACATCACTCACACTCGGAGTTGTTATTAAAGGATGTGTACTGTGTTTCTTGTCATTTTGTTGATTTGCGGTACTTGGTGTTTGTGTTTGTGTTTTTCTCATTTGCTTACCTATACTGGAGCATGGATTGCTCTTCACTGTAGCTTCGTGGATGTGTTGGCTTTTCTTCCAGTCCAAAGGATTCCTCCACATATCTTCTGTAGCACTAGCTTAAGGGTTATGAATTCTTTTACTTCTTTTACTTTGGAAATTTTTTAGTACTACTTCAGTTATGACAGAGTTTTGCTGGGTATAGTAAGCTGGGTTGACTGCTGTTTTCTTTCTGAGCTTGAAAATCAAAGTTTCTGTTGAGAAATCGCCTCTTGTTCTGATGAGCCCTCCCCACCCCACACTTTATATATGACTTGGTGTTTCTCCCTTGCAGGTTTGGGTGTATTTTCCTTGTTCTATATATTTATTAGTTTAATATTAACACAACGTGGGAAGGCTCCTTTCTGGTCTTGTCTACTCAGTGTTCTAAATGTTGCCTGGATAGACATCTCTTCCCCTAGATTTGGGAAATGATCTGCTGTGATCTTTTTTTTTAATTGAAAATGTTTTCTAAGCCTTTAGACTGAAGTTGTTCTTCTCTAACTCTGTGTGTTTTGTAGCAATTTCTTCCAAATTGTAACACTCCCTCTTGGAGGGAAGGAAAGCAGCAGAAGCTTGAAGGTCTCAGAACTGAGGAAGCCACAAGGGCCCACAGCTCCTCCCTTCTATCACACAAGCAGTAACTCCTGTTGGAGAAAGACTCTCCTAGTGCCTGTGGGTTGTGCGGGCAGCTCCGGAATGCAGCTTTCATGGAGATAGACTCTTCCCCCTGCCTGTGGGTTATACGGGGAGCTCCGGGATACAGTTTTCATGAGTCACTGCCCATGAAGAATGGGCATTTCAGTGATTCAGCTGTCTTTGAGTCATCCATTTTCCTGTTACCCCAGTAAACTCGCTGGCTCACTAAGCTGCACTGCAGTGGAATCATTTCTTTGGTCTCTAGTGCCCTATCTGGAGTGGATAGGCATGTACTCAGGTACCCCTAGGAAAGATCACTCAGTATGAATCACGGATTTAGTTTTTCCATAGTGCCCTGTAGACCTCAAAGTTTTCATTCATGTATTTATTTTTATTAACTTATCTTTGTAGTTAACCAAATGTTCCAATTCCTGTATGTTGTTTTCAAGTCCTGGTAATCTGTTTACCCCATAGATCCATCCTATTGGTGAATCTTTTCACATAACTTTTTATTTACCTTCTTCAACTTTTTCATTTCCAGTTTCTTTATTTTACTATTTCTCTTTATTGAATTCTACTTTCATATCCAATATTGATTTCCTTATTTCAGTCATCTTTTTTGTTGTTGTTATCTTGGGATTTATTCAGGAGTTTGTGTCCTTTTTGAGTTCTTTGAACATAATTCATAATAATTCTTTTGAATTCCTTGTCTGGGATTTCATCTAACTCTCTTTCATTGGGAGGCCATGGGTGGGACTGGTCATTTCTGGAGCAGTGGTGTTACCTTGTTTTTTCACATTGCTTGTGTTTTCGTGTTGAGACTTGCACCTGGAGTTGACCATTGGGTGATTTTTTTTTTTTTTTGGTTTTTTGAGACAAGGTTTCTCTGTGTAGCTTTGCGCCTTTCCTGGAACTCACTTGGTAGCCCAGGCTGACCTCGAACTCACAGAGATCCGCCTGCCTCTGCCTCCCGAGTGCTGGAATTAAAGGCGTGTGCCACCACCACCCGGCTTGGGTGATATTTTTTTAATTATAATTATTTTAGTGAAACTGGTTGCAATGTTCAAGACAGATTATGGTGCTGTAAGGTTGAGGCACCATCCTTCTATGCTATACCAGTGTTCGGGACATCAGACCCAATTCCTAGTACTCCCCTAAGAGTAGAGTAAGCACATTGTGAAAGTCATAGTGTTAGTCAAACAGAATCAACCCCCTCTTCAGCTCTCAACATTTGAAGAAGTAAAGGAAGAGAACTAGAAGTGTACACAATAAGAGTGTAAGGTGCAAGTGTGAAGGAAAAAGTGAGTCTGCTGAGTAGAGAGAGGGAAAAGTAAATAGAAGGTAGAGACAACAGGGAAAAGAGAGAGAAATGGGGTAACTCGGACCAAGGGTTAAATAATGAGGGGGAGGCGAGAAAGTGCAATCAGATAACCCCAAACGGTCCCAGCTCTGAGAAGGCTGAGACACACGAAGCCCACAGACGAGGCTAGCTCGCCTTCTGGGGGAAAGCTTATCAATGGAAAAACAAAAGAAGAGAAAGAGTAGTGAAAAAATAAAGACAAAAAAGGAGGGGGTAGTGAGAACAGAACAGGACAGAGCTGGCCTGTAAAACTGCCATGGATATCACACAGAAGTGGAGGGAGCTGGGTGGGAGGCACTCGGTCTGAACGGTCAGTCTCCTCACTGCTCCAGCCTCATCCTCCTGTTCCTTCCATGGCTCCCCGATGCCTGTCACACCCCTGGGCAGTCTTTTGCACAGATGTTTCAAGGGCGTCCTTCAAGGTATTGGGTTATGAATGCTGTTCTCGGTGCTAGACGGTCCTTTATAAGGCTATAAGGGTCACAAATGCTGGCCCTCTTTCTTCACAGGTTTCAAGTGCAGGCCCTAACCACTGGGCAGTCCTTACTGGTGTCAGGTACACTACCAGGAGCCTATATCTACATCCCCCGGAGATGGCACCGTCCAGGTTCCCCCTCGCTGAATACTGCACAGTTCCCATTTGAAGTTTCTTCCCCATAATTGGGAGGTATTCTGGTCAGTTTTCAGCGTTTTGTAGTGGCATTTGCTCAGAGTTTCCTAGGAGTGCAGTTCCCCAGTGCCTGGACCAGCAGGGGGCATTTTTTGTTGTTGTTGTTTTTCGAGACAGGGTTTCTCTGTGTAGCTTTGCTCCTTTCCTGGAACTCACTTTGTAGACCAGGCTGGCCTTGAACTCACAGAGATCCTCTTGCCTCTGCCTCCCGAGTGCTGGGATTAAAGGCGTGTGCCACCAGCGCCCGGCAAGGGAGCATTTTAAAATAGCGTCCCACTGTGGCTCCACTTGACTGCTTGCTCGTTTGTTTTTTCATGACCATCTCCTTGCTCAGGTAGAATGCTGGCGAGAGAGTTTTTCATTTACAGCCCAAATAGTCTTCCCTCCTCCTTCTTTTTCTGCCCTCTCTTTAAAACGTCTGTTACTGAGAGTGGAGTACAGAATTTCTGAAGCTGTCTGTCTTATGCCGCGGCTCTGGTCACCTGGTCACTTCCTGTCTCTGGGAAGGGAGAACTCCGGAGACCACACTGACCCCTCCGGGATGGACTCCAGATGTTTTTCTATTCTGCTCTGCAACATTTTCTATTTTGCTTTGATATTAAACTAGAGATGTTTGGCTCTTCACTGCCTATTCTAAAAGCTGTTGTCAACTTTCTCCTGTATGCTTTCTGGAGATTGTAGCAGACTGTGTTGCTTTGTTGTCTACTGTCTGCAAAAATCGCCAGCAGACGTTTTTAACAGAAATAACAAGCTAATTCTAAAATATTTTCAAGTGCCCTAAAAAATCATCAAAATAATTTTCAAAAGGAAAAACAAATCTAGAATAATTTTCAAAAGGAAAAACAAATCTAGACAATTTGCAGTATCCGGTTTCAAAACTTACTACAGGGCCAAGCATGATGGAACATGTCTGTAAAGCCAGCCCTTGGGAGACAAAGACGGGGATCACAGTCAGGTTAGTCCAGGCTACATGGTGAGACCCTGTCTTAAACACAAACACAAAGAAACAAGGCCGACATTACTACAGTAAGCTACTGTAGTGGAGAATAGGGCCCTGGGAAGTCACCGTCCTGAGTGAATGGAGCCGCTCACCAAAGTGCGCATGCCATCTACTGCAGACTGCAGAACACACACTGGTTCTGTATTGTCCCATGGCAGATCTCCGTGGCTGCTCTGAGGGAGAGACAGAGAGCAGGTGTGGATGACCGAGTGAGCAGAAACAGCAATTCAATCATCTTGATTGTAGCAATTGTTTCAAGGGTGCGAATCTCTGTCAAAATTCCTCAAACTGTAGACCTGTGTGGATTTTACAGCCTATAGACTACACCATTGTGTGGCTTACTGCTTATAAACCATACTACTATTTAAAGTTAGGACAGAGAAGATTGTAAACATTTATATTTGAATGTTTAAAAAAGAAAGAAAAACTATCTCCTTCTAAATTCCTCCAACACAAATCTGCAAAAGGACTCATTGTGTCTGCAGTCTTCAGTAGCAAATAACCCCTGCAGTAAGCTCAGAACACTTTGTTTACTCCCAACTGCAATAGAAACAGCTCTCTGTCCTGAAATTAGATAGATAGACTCCGTCGGGAGTTCTCACCTAATGGTTAAGACTTGTCCAAATCTAGCAGTCCTGGCTCGGGCAGCAGAAATGGTCAGTGATGACATTAATTGCCTCCCCTGTTAGCTTTCACGCCCCCACAGCTGTCCTGATTCCTCACCTCTTTCCCGTATACACCGCCACACACACACACCCACACACACTATTTCCTCGGTTCCTCAAAGCCCAATCTACCTACTTCCACTGGCCGTTTTCACTGTTACCTCCTCTTCTGCCCACGCTCCTTTTCCCACGAAACCTTTTCCTTTAACTCTAATTTAGAGCCTACAGAAGCCCAGAGCCTCCTCCAGCCCTAATCACCTCTCCATGTCAGCCCTAGAGTTGACGCGGACTTTTGTGAAGTTGGAATCTACCAAAGCGGATGAGAGAGAGGGAGTAGCGGCTCACCCCAATCACCACGGCCTCTCCAGAGTCCAAAGGAAATGACCTGCACCCGGGTCCACAGCCTCTGCTCACCTGGATGGTTCAGGTGGTCCAGACCTTCTCCCCGCTGATGGTAACGGGCCAGATGTCCCACAGACCGCTGGGACACACGGCCCAGGCAGGCTCTGCCAACTCAATGGGGAAGAAAGGACCGGCTCCCTGGTCGCCCAGCAACAAGCCCTGCCTCGCGGTTCCAGCACCTGAGCGCTGCACACGCTCCACTCCCAACCCCTGCCACAGTGGAGTCTAGAAATCGGCTTCAGGCCCTGGCCCCAGAGGCTTGAAGCCTTTCAGAGAGGTCTCAGTTCAAGCAGTGGTGGAAATGAATCCCAAAGGGCTGCGGGGTCAGACTTGCTCTTCCCAGATTGACCAACCACCCAGCTTAACGAGCCTTTGCAACCCCTTCTTTCTTTACATCTTCAAAGGAGTAATGTTGGCTTCAGACACACAACCATTTGTTTTTAAAGGAGTATGTCTATATTACCTGTCAATGTGCTGCCGTGTCGCCTGCCCACCATGAGTCCAGCTCTAAAGAGACTCGAACTCTGAGGCATGTGATTCGAGTTTCCGGAACTCACAGAATAATCTTAAATTTGCAACATTCAGTTTTTCTGATGTGATCCATGAAGCAATGATTGGCCTTATCTATTAAAGTTGAATGTACACATATTAATATTCAGCAACCCTGCTAGGAAGAGCAAGAAAAACAGAGAGAGTGTAAATTGTAAACATTTATATTTTAATGTTTTTTTTAACCTAGCCATTTTGTCGGTATGACTAAAAACTGAAACCAACCCAAAAGTTCATCAAAAGCAAAATCCACAAAATAGTAACCATAAAACACAATGCTAATATCAAGGAGGCGAATCAAGCTCACCCTTTGGGAAGAGCGACACAGCAATCTCTCACACCTGCAATATTGGTCAACGAAGCTAGATACAGAGTGGCCCATGTTGTCTGAGTCCGTCACATAGGGTTCAAATCCCAGATCAGGATAAACTATGGCACTTACAGATACACCCTGAGCTTACATATGACAAATAAACATGTCAAAGTGCTCTCCGCAGAAGTCCACACAGTAGTCGTGCTGGCTAGTTTTATGTCAACTTGACACCAGCGAGAGTCACTGGAGAGGAAGGAGACTCAACTGAGAAAATGACTCTGAGAGAGAGGCTGCAGGCAAGCCTGTAGGGCATTTTCTTAACTGAAAATGATTAGTGGGGGAGGGTGACCCCTGGGCTGGTGATCCTGGGTTCTATAAGAAAGCAAGCTGAGCAAGCCATGATGAGCAGGCCAGTAAGCAGCACCCCTCTATGGCATCTCCATCAGCTCCTGCTTCTAGGTTCTGGCCATTTTGAGTTCCTGTCCTGACTTCCTTCCTTTCCGTAATGAACAGTGATGTGGAGGAGTAAGCCAAAATAAACCCTTTCCTCCCCAAGTGGCTTTGGCCATGGTATTTCATCACAGCAATAGAAACCTTAACTAAAACAGTAGTCATCTTGGGAGAGGGAGAGTGATGTTGATTAAGTACTTTGGGGAGTCTTGGGGAGGGCTGGGTTTGTAATGTTCTGTTTTTAATCTAGTTGGTAGCTAATTGGGTTTTGTGAGTGTGCTAAGTATGCTATTGCATTCTGTTTACTCACTTACTTTTAAAGGAAGAAAAAAAAAAGAAAACCCAATTTAGCATTAGTATAAATTGAAGTGCTTTATTTAGTACCTGGCACTTAGACTCTCAAATGTGTGTTACCACTCTGCTTTCTACCAACCCACCCATCACAAATACTCAATGACTTCAAAGTCATCACAGATGGTGACTTCTTAAGGTCCTCTATGAAGCTCCAGACACTGGAAGGAGACAACATAAACTGGTCCAGATGCTTGGGAGAGAAGAATGCTCTATCCTCTACAACTACGTGAGGCCAGAAACAACCCAATTGTGCAAGTATACTCTGGCATTCTCGGGACTTGGGAGAGAAACTACAGTTTCAGAAAAGCAGGCAGGGTTTCTTCACCCTCATCTCTAAGATGGAGATAATAAGTGCAGCTCTTCACAGCTGATGGTTTCTAGTGGGGGAGAGAGGGGGCTTCCGTTTCATTAAGAGGCTGGCCACTGGATGTTTGACATGCTCCAATGAGTATGGGGAACAGCACAAAAGGGACTGGTGGGTTTTACTTGTTTGTCTACTTTGTTTTTCTTTGGGAGGGAGTGCAGGCGTGGGAGGGTGGACCTGGGAGGAATGGAAAGCAAGTGTGATTGGGGTACATTGTAGGAAATTCCCAAAGAATTAACAAAATCGTATGTTGGGGGCGGGACCGAGGCGGATAATACTTTTACCCGGCAGGTTTGTTTCACTCCCTCACAGGGTACCTTCAAAAATGATTGCTGAATGCTCACAAATGAGAAGCATTCTGCAGAAGGCGGCTCACCATCCCTGCGGTGGCATGGCATTGGTCACGTGACTCCAAATGCTCCGAGAATGCTACATGAGGACGGCTGCACTGTATGTGCGGATGCAGCCTAGTTAGGACAACAGTGAATGCTTTTTCTGTGCTCAGCATCTCAGCTTTCACAGCTCCCAAGTACTCAGGTGTTCACACCATAAGAAAATACAACCCATGAGCTAAGTAGTATTATTTTCATTGAATAAGTAAGGTGGTGGTGTTCAAAAAGACAAGAATTTCACTGGAAGTCCTTAGGTGGTCCTATGTTAGGAACCTCTATTCTAGGTCTGATTCTACAAAAACAAAAACAGAAAGGAAAGTAGGGGGTTTGTTATTTAGTCTTACTTCTTTTTCTATTGCTGTGAAGAGGCATCACGACGAAGGCAACTTATAAAAGAAAGCGTTTAATTAGGGGCTGGCTTACAGTTTCAGAGGGTGAGTCCATGACCATCACGCTGGGAGCATGGTGACAGGCAAGCAGTCATGGCACTGGAGTAGTAGCTGAGAGCTTATGTCTTATCCACAAGTTGGAGGCAGAGAGAGAGAGAGAGAGGCTGAGTCAGGCCTGGACTCTTGAAACCTCAAAGCTCACTTTCAGTGACACACCTCCTCCAACAAGGCCACACCTCCTAATCCTTCCCAAAACAGTTCTACCAACTAGGGACCAAGCATTCAAATATATGAGCCTGTGGGGGCCACTCTCATTCAAACCACCACAGTGATGTTAGTTATTGATCTAAAGTCTAAAGTCATTTCATATCCATTTTGCATTTTCATACTAAAATGCTAATAACTGTGGGATTATCTTAAAGAGATGGAATTTGACTCTGAAGAGCAGAATAAAATTACTCAAGCATTCATTGAAATTCTATGATATAACCGAATCCTTGTTACTCACCAATGTCTATCTACTAGTTCTTTTGTTATTTGCTCTTGGAAGCACATCTGGTTCATACACAGGAAGCCATGGGAGACTCACTATAACATCTCAGCTTCTATACTTCCAAAGTGTCACAGCAGAATGGTGTCCAAATTCAGTTCTCTAGATAGAGAACTCAAGGTTTTTCATAATTAGAGCCTGCCCAAAGGTTCAAAGATTTGGAAAATAGAGGTATGTCTTTACTTTATATTCTGGACAAACATTGTTTCAAACTGGATGAAAGATTTTTGAATTGTGTAATGAAGACTTATAAGCATCAAACCACAGAACTCATGGGGTTCTAATTCTATGTAGTTAAAATAAACAAAAAATGTGATGCAATTAAGAACCTGGTGAAAATCTGAACACTTACGGCAGACATGAAATCACAGATGAGGACTTGAGGTGTAGCTCAGTGACAGAGCATTTATCTAGCATGTACAAGTCCCAGGGTTAATTTCCAGCATCATAAAATAGCCCTGTAGATGAGAAATAGACGGAGGATCAAATTTTTTTTTCAAAGCTAAAATAGATGTGAACAGGCCATTCTACAATGAAGAAATACTGTGGTCACTAGACACATATCCAACCCACTAATAAACAGAGAAATAGAAATTAAAACAATGATTGCAAATGTTACCATCCAAATTTCAGTTAGTAATGGAGTGTGTACGGGTTAATATTGACCATCAACTTCACAGGAGCTAGATCAACAAGGAAGAAGGCCTCTGGACACGTCTGTGCAAGATCGTCTAGATTAAGTTCACTGTAGGTGGCGTCATTCTGGACTGCAGAGGCAATGTGACCAGCCAGCCTCCTGCCCCTGTCACAATTCCTTCTGCTGCCAAGTTTCCCTACCATAATGGAATGTACCAAATTGTGAGATGGAATAAGTGTTTCCTTCCTTCTTTTCTTCCTTCCTTCCTTCCTTCCTCCCTTCCTTCATTCATTCAATTGCTTCTTGTCAGGTATTTTCTCACAGTAACAAGCAAAGTGGCTAATACAGAGTATTAGGGTGTGTAAGGGAACAGGGTGTGTAAGGGAACAGGATGACCCAGAGATTTTTAACAGCATGCTGCTAGATGTCAGGGGACAACATAAATTAAAGTCCTAACTACTTAAGTATCTTCTAACTCAAAAATTGCACCTTTATGACCCTTTTCAAAGTAGAGATGTACAAAACTTTTAAATATTGAAGTTTTTTTTTCTTTTTGGTTTGTTGTTTATTTTTCAGATAGACTCTTGCTAGTTGCACAGACTGGCTTGAACCAACTCATAATCTCAAGTAAGCCTCCTATCCCAGGCTTTCTATTAGCTACAGCTCTCCATGAGTCTAAAGCTGTGAGCCATCATGATTGCTGTGGAGCATTGTTTTAATCATTAGTAAACAAAACTATTGCCTTAAATTTAATACCATTGGTGCTAGAGAGATGGCTCAGCACTTAAAAGTACTTGTTCTTGCAGAAGGCCTAGGCCTAGGTTTGGTTCCCAGCACCCACATATTTGTTCACGACAACCCATAACTCCAGGTTCTGAGAATCTGATGTCTTCTGACCCCTGTGGGTATGAAGCTGCACATGCTGCATATGATACATGCAGGCAAAAATAATCATACATATCAAGTAAAATAAATGCAAGTGTTTTTAAATTTAGTATCCTTAATGTCTAGTATGGTGTCAAATACACAGAATTCTCATTAATGGTTGCACCCAAGTAACATCACCAACCTAGTATTAGTTAATATTGAATTGTTATCAAGTCACTGTAGCTGGAGTTTTTCTCTCCGAGTCCTGCCAATCCCCAGCAGTTCCGTAGCCCACTTATAAAATAAACATACAGACGCTTATATTATTTAAACTGCTCGGCCATTAGCTCAGGCCTACCATTGTCTAGCTCTTACTCTTATACTCAGCCCATTTCTGTTAATCTATATGTCGCCACGTGTTCCGTGGCTTTACCTGATGCCTTTACATGATGCTCCCTGGACAGCAGGGTGGCGTCTCCTCCTCCCAACCTTCCTGTTCTCTCAATTCTCCTCTCTGCTAGTCCCGCCTATACTTCCTGCCTGGCTACTGGCCAATCAGTGTTTTATTTATCAATCAATCATCCACAGCACTTCCCTTTTTTCTTTTTTTCAAAAAGGAAGGCTTTAACTTTAACATAGTAAAATTATATATAACAAAACAATTATTAAGCAAGGATTACAATTATAATATTAAAGAAGATATCCTATCAATCTTATATTTGTGAGTCTAAGGTTTTATATCTAACTTATCTTTTATCATAACTGAGGAAATTATAACTATCTAGTCTTCAACTACATCAAAGACCCCAGAAGGATATACTATTACCTGAGAAACAGGAGAAGGATGTAAGAAACTTTCGGGAGTTTTGCAGGGTAGACAGAGACAGCTGGTAGCCTGGACAGTCACCTAATGTTCCTTTGTAAAGTTGGGGCATCTGTCTTCAGCCCACAGGCCTAGAGTCTCTCAGTCATTTCTCTCTGTGTCCTGTAGAATGTCTGACAGTTTTCTCTGAGAAGCAGGAACCTGAAGGACCATTTCGCCAAGCAAAGTTCAGTGGTCACCTTCCTATGGGTCCTGCATGTCCAGTTGATCAAGCAGTCCAGGCAAGAACAGTTTTTTGCCCAAATAGCTATTTTTGCCAAGGTGAAGATAAACTCCATATGGAGTGTCTTTGATGCCCATCCTCCTCTCTGAAGTAAATTCTGTGCTGCCAGGAGCAGGCATGTCTCACTGTCCAGAAAGTCTAAATTTTTAAAACATTTTAAATGCCATATTCTGTAGGTCTTTGAAGTATTTGAAGATTACCTAGCTAATTGAATTATATCTATGTATACCTAGAAAACAACATGACTATAAGTTTGACTATCATAGAAGACTAATTATTAATCTATATTTCTTAATTATCCATTACAATTTAAATGAGTTACATAAGCATAATACCTCAAAAGAGAATAGAAATATATATACAGTATAACAAAATTAAGTTTAAACTTGTATCAATAAACTAAAATCCATAGCAATGTAAAACATTTTAAACAAGTTGCTCTTTAAAAGTAGATTCAATAATTTACCCTTTCATCCTATCATATCTATATCAAGTCACAGGCCTGAAGAGAATTGAACTCTAAATAGAACTAAATATTGTTATCAAGTCACTGTAAATCAACATGTAAATGAGCATCTCCTATAAGCTGGACTTAGTTCATGGTTTGGTTACATTAATACAACTTTGCAGAAGCCTCAATCCTTGCTTTGCAGCAAGGTCACTTTAGCTAAGGTCCAAACAGTCTTGGATAATATTAATATTTGGTTTGGGCTTTAAGTGTTTTAGCAATGATATCAAATACATTTCACCAAATTAAAGGGATGAGTATAAAACAGATTGTCTCCAAATTTGCTCCAATGCTAAACCCAGAGGCAGCCTTGCCTTCAAGAGCACAGTCACCCTAGACATCCCCATGCCTGCACCTCCACCTCAAGACTGTGAAAAGAAACAGGTCGAAACTGTATGAGTTACATTATTAAAAGGATGGCACAGGACATAACCGAAGACTGGTTCTTCTCTCCCTTCAGATCTCCAGAGGAAACAATGGCCTGCTTGAAAGACAAAGTAGGGTTGGAATAAAGAGAGTTCAAATAATTATTTGCACAACCGTGGGTAGAATTAGAGAAGGTCATCCATGTCTAACAACACTGAACGGGTATCACATTGGGGTTTCGCAGAGCCTGGTGTGAGCAAGAGTGCAAGAGAGGCTGCCCAGGAGGGAGAGGATTGAAGGGCAAAGCCAGGAAAGTAAGTGAAGGCAGAAACAGGAACTCTCACCTCTCTGCTCTTTCCCCAAATTTCTGTACCATTGCCCTACATCAGCCAAATCCAACGGGGAGCCCCAAAGTCAGGAAAGCTACACAACATGGTCCATTCCCTTCCTGGGGGTAACATCCAGAAGAATCTTTGTCCAAATGTTTCCTATATTGTTATTACCCACTCCACCCCCCATGGAAGTGTACATGCTGTGAGGCGATTTCCCCTTCCTAAGGGGCACCCTAGCGCAGACTGCCTCCAGTCTTCTCCAGCAATACTGGTCACTACTCTTACCCTGTGGTGGCCTCATATGCCAGTCTTTCCCCAGGCCCTGAACTCTGAGGTGGGTTTAACAACTCAGCTTGTAGAGTTCAGGAACAGACCTCAGGAAGCCAGCCTATTCTTCCCCGGGGTGTCTCAGAAGTCTGGCGCCGGGTCTGATCTCAGTGTTCTTAGGTGAGATAAAAATAGCAAGCACAGAGCAGAAAGAAAACTCTGAGTAAAGCGACCCATTGAAAAGAAAAGATACAAATAAGCAGGTGTACTTGGCTGAGAATTAAGGATTTATTTTTCTTGGAGGTAGGGGCTGACATTTAGCATTCCACTTACATTTCAGTCCTCCAAAGGGCTTTGCTTAGATGGGTTCCAAGCATGGTAATGCACTAGAGATTTTGCTGAGTTTGAGGTCAGAACCATTCTTTTTCTGAAGGTAGGTATGTAAGACAGTTGTACCGGCTTTGTAGCCTAAACATTGAGCTTTGAGAACCAATGCCTGGTTTGTGCTTAGAAAAACTAACAGCTCTCCCCGAGTAAGCTGTAAAAACAGACGCTGCATTTAGCCAGAGATCATTGCCTCGGACTTCTGGGTACCAGCCCACTTTCTGGTACTCACCTCCCCCAATACCAACCCAAGAAAAATTAATAAACTTTGAAGATGTGCTGCTTTTCTGTTCTCCAGTGACAGAAATATTTTATCTGTCCCCATTCTGATTACTCAATGAAGCAGAAGTCAAAAACTTACGAGAGCCTGCACACAGAACGCAGAGCCCTCCTAGCCCACCCAAGCACAGCCTGATATTTGTGTGACATTATTCCTGAAAGCCCCTCCATCCACAACTGAACTCCAGACCTTCCAAATTCCCTCAGTAGGAGGGGTTAATCATTCATGAATCTTCACCCAGCAGCTGACTCTCTGCCTGAGGAAACCCTCTCGTGATTTGTTCTTTCCACACACTGTATTGTTTTTTCTTAATTAAGCTTTAGGACCCCACTAAGCCTTTGGTACACACAAGGTAATATTTATAATCTTTAGTATTTGAAGGATCCACCATGAGTCCAGTATTCCTGCTTCATTTCAGATGGACTTACATTCCTAGAAAGAAACCTCTTTTTTTAAGGGAATTTAAATCAAATAGTCTCAAAGACAGCAAATAAAGATACCTTGCTATAATGACATCTTGGGTTTTGGGGATTTTAGAAAATAGCTAAGCGATACTTCTCTAGATGAATAGTAAATGGTTCCTTCTCACTCTGCCCACGGGGAGGGAAGTGGAATGAGCGAAGTGACAGGAACTAATCAATGACATTCTCACTCAGTTCTCCCTAAATTCAGGTACTGGGGGAACTTTCAGTAGGCTCCACCCGGCTTCTC